TAAAAAGGTTTTTAAATTGGATTATGAATAAATGTGCAATTAATTGTCACAGTTTTGAATTTTCTGTTACTATTTTCTTTCCGTCGTGCAAACTGCCTAGTTACATGACACCCCCCCCCCCCAGCCATGCCCACCAGAGCACGCTCACAGAATCAGTAGTAAAAAAAATTGAATTCCACAACTGGGCATTGAAGATCAGTTTGTAGCACCAAGGGGGCGGTGGACTGAAAAAGTTTGGGAACCACTGGTTTAACATATTATCTTTGCAGCAAAATTCCTCCTATTCTCCAATACTTCCTTCTACAAAATTGCTAGTTGGTATGAATGTCTGTGGCATCATCTCTTCCATGCCAAATATCAGGTCAAGCGATGGTTTCTATTGTTGTGATTGAGATTAGATTAATTCAGACACTGATATTTTCTTTCTGTTGTGCTGCAAGTATTTCTGTGTGTACTCTTGAGGAGCTGTTGCTAGTAACTGTTAGCAGTACTGAATTTGATTCAGTACATAGTTGCTTCTATATTTCTATAACCTGCATTGCAAATAGAAAAAAAAAGCTTCCTTGCTAATGTTTAGTGGGCTCTCCATAGCTGATACTTTTTATTTTGTAATGATATGCTATCTAAGCACATCATGTGTTACTTGGGTTCCACTATGACTACAATCCCACAAAAACTATTGGGTAAATCATGTAGATTCTATTATGTACTGCAGCTGTTCATTAAAATTCAAGAATGGTTCTTATACAATAAAAAGGAAATATTGGTAGTAAATATAGCCAGAGAACAAGTCTTACAATATCTAGTGTTGTTATGCATTGTTTAGCAGAACAGTAAAATGTCAGAATTTTAATAGTTAATACTTGCATTTGTAGAATGTTCATGTTTTTAGTTATTGGTTCATCTTTGAATGATCAAATGTTATATTTTCTGTCTCTATGAAGTAATTATGCAGGTATACTTGATAAAGTATTCCTGTTTTACTATCTTTTCCAATTAACGTTGATGAACAAAAGAGGTTGTATTATATAAAAACATGTTATTACCTCATTTACTTCTGCCTTAACATCTTTGTTTTGTATTGTTTTTTCAGTTGCTGGTTCAGTTTGTTCAGAACACATCTATCCCACTAGGACAGGGGCTTGTGGAATCAGAACCTAAAAATATTACCTGTCTATCTCTTCTTCCTGTTACAGAATCCCCACAATGCAACAGATTGATATTGCCAGGTAAAAGCTGAAATCAGACAAATTCTAAAAATATTTTGCATTGTGTCACACCTTTGGATGATACTGTACTTTTGAAGAAATCTATTGTGATTAGACTGTTTTGTTGCAAAACATTTTATAATATGCTGTATAAATAGAAATTCAGCTTCCTTGAATGGTAATATCTGCAAGAAGCTGTTGGAGAGATCCTCTGATGATTTGAGGTCCGGTATGCCAATTATATTTTACTTTCCATCACAAGTCCAGGTTCTGCTGAGGATGCCACTGAAACCCTGCCTCAGCACCTGCAGGCTGTGAGTGTCTGGATGAGAGAGAACAAGTTGAAATTGAAGTCTAACAAAATGGGAATGTTGTTTGCACATTGGGGTTTTCTTCTGACTCCAGTGATTATTGATTACTGGTCCATGACTTAGGGATCCTCCTGGACTTGTGGCAATTGCTATAGCAGCAGGTGGAACATTTTTTTTTGAATGGGGGTGAGCTGTAGGGTTATGGTTAACCCAGCTTTGAATGATGCATCAGTCCTGACTTCCCTTGGATAAGAGTATCTTGTGACTGTAACTCATGCCTTTATTATCTTATGTCTAGACTACTGCAATGGCACTGACTTTAAGAATCATAGGAAGCTTCAGTTAGAACAGTATTGTTAGTATTACCCAGGGATAGATGTATTACAAGCCCTGTGTTGGTGGCCATAACTCTTGGTGTACTTTAAAATGCTGATATTAACCTTTGAAGGCCTTTATGGCTTGATGCCAGGAGTGCATTGCTTTTCAGCATCTGGCTCAACCATTATAATTTTGTTAGAGGAGAAGTAGAAAGGGAGGCCGATGCTCAAAACATTTTTTGCTGCTGCTATTAGTGGCCCTTTTAATATTCTCCTGCATGAAGTTAAATCTCCCCTCTTTTGGCAATGTTTCAAAAACGTTGGGGACCAAATTCTTCTGGAGGATATTTGGTTCATGATGTGTTTTCATATTGGTATTGTATGTTTTATGTTTTTAATGACATCTCAGTATTTTTGCTTTATTGTATCTAAGCCTCTGAGAGTCTGTTGAAATTTGATAAATAAGATACATATGTCATAAGAGAAAATTCTGGCATATTTTAACATAATAAATAGTGTGTGTGATCCCAAGGACACTGGCTTTAACATTGATTTTATAATAAATGTACTGACACCTCTAAGTTCAATGCTTTTAAAACTTTCAGATGATTCCCCAAACCATATTCATTCTTCCAAGCATGCTTCTTCTTCGGCTGTTCTGCGAAGTCTCCAAGTAAATGTTGGCCCTGATGGTGAGGAGACAAGGGCACAAACAGTACAGAAACCACCTGACCTTCTTCCAAGTCCTGATACATCTACCTTATTGCAAGATCTTCAGCCTGGTGATAACACTTCCTTTATTCTCCTCAATTTAACACGGACAGGTAATTATGTAGGTAGATTAGTTTCTACTAGTAAGAAACAAGATACAATATTTGAGATTCACTGCTTTGAAAAGTATGGTGAAGTTTTTTTTCACATAAAGCACTGTGGAGCAGTATATAAGTCTAAATGATAACAAGTAGTTTGGGTTATCTTGCTTATTGCTTAAGATAACTTCTTTTCTAGGTCTTGGGTCTTCTTCAGAACACCTGGTATTTGTCCAGGATGGAGCAGTCGATTCTGGGAACAATTTCTTTGCAAATAATAATACAGACAGCAGTACCCCATGGTTTTTACGTGTACAAGAACTGGCTCATGATAGTTTGATTGCTGCCACCCGAGCACAGCTCGCTAAGAATGCCAAAGCAAGCAATAATGGTAAGTTGTTATTTTTATTATTCCCTTTGCAAAGTTACAAATTAAAGCAGTTCAAGATGAACATGGATGTCAAACTGGTGTCCTGCAGGCCGGATGCGTCACACGCAGGCCACACCCACCCTAGCTCCACAGAGGAGAAAAAGGTTGTGAAATGTCATGTGACACCTTGAGTTTGACACCCGTGCTGTATAACAATTACTTGTATTTATTTTTCATTAATATTTCTTTGTAACACTGTTTCTGAAAATATAGCAAATGTTATATTTCTTCAAAACAAATGGAATGTTATTAACTAGAAATATAGAGAAAAGCAATAGGGAACAGACTTGGCGTTAAAAAAATATATCTAATTTTACTAGCTTCTGTCACTCAATATTTTTTATTTGTAGATGTTGATGTCTAATTGTAGGATTTTTTCTTCCAGGAGAAAATGTTCATGTTTGTTCAGGAGAATCACAGCCGAAGGAATCCAGCCCCATTCCTCACCTACCCCGGGTAGAAAAAAAATTGCAGTGCACTGTTGAAGGCTGTGATCGAACATTTGTATGGCCAACTCACTTCAAATATCATCTAAAAACCCACAGGTATGTAGACTTGCTAAACCTGAAGTTTATCAGGGTGCCACATGTTTTATGTATATTAATCCAGCATATAACTGATTTCTCCTTTAGAACAATTCATTTTAAATTTGGGGAGAGTTGGTCAAATTAAGAGAGCTAATCTCTATCTTGTAAGCTCATCCAGATCATTTTTTAAAATATTAGCTTAGGTTTGAAAGAACTGGCAGCTGCTTTGATTTGTAATTCATTGGCTTGAATAAGACTAGTATTGCTTTTATTATATGTATGCCCAAAAGAAAACAAATCAGCCAAACAAGTGGAAAGACAGGCAATTGTAAAAGAATATGCCCTTTATGATAGCAAAACTGAATACATTTCAAGGGATTCTGATCCCCTTCCTCAAATGACTAGAAAAACAATTGAAATAACATTGTCAATAGGAAGAACTCCTTTAACATTTTCACTGATTAGGAATTTCTGAGACATCTGGATTTCTTTCCATTTTCTATAACTTAACATGTAGTGTTTCTCTAGGTTGCAATTTCAGTGAATGCATTCATCCTCTTTGGTTTTACTGTTTCAGCTTGCTGCTTTTTATTATATAACAGGTGTTTCTAAACTGCCATTGTTTTTCTAGTTGATTGAGGTTTTAAAATATTCCCTTTATATTTGTTTTATGATTTGTCCAGTTTGTATCTTATGTGTACATTATTTTTGTTTAGTTGAAAGCCTAATCTACATATATAGCCTGTGATGATCTTACAATTAAGAAATTATGTGTGCTACTCACTTCATTGTTTCATTTTTGAAAATATTACCCTGCCTTTCTTTTGAACATTTGCGTTTGTTCTGTATGTATTAATCTGTGTTTTATGTGTGCTTTACTGTTGTAATTTATTTCATATGTTGTGAATACATTACTTAATTGTTTTTTAATCTCTTGAGTTATTCCCTCAAAAAGTATTAGGAGTTTTAATATAATAAAATATTATTTTCTTCTGTCACAATTTCTTCTTTACTTTCCGTTAACTTTGACTATGTTTAACTTAAACTCTCTGATAAAAATGTGACATTATGATATTTTAAACAAAAATGTCTTTTTAATATTGGTTAGTTTTTTATATTAATCAGTGAGAGTAATACTGTTTTCCAGGAATGATCGCTCCTACACATGCCCAGCAAAAGATTGTGGGAAAAGCTTTTATGTTTTACAAAGATTGAAGGTGCACATGAGAACACACAATGGTGAGAAACCATTTATTTGCTCTGAACTAGGCTGTGGAAAGCAATTCACAACAGCTGGGAATCTAAAGAATCATCTGCGAATTCACACTGGTATGTTCTTTCAATCTTTTCTGGAAAAATACTTTTTCTTCAAGAATATGTTTATGACCACCTTTCATGAGGTGCTATAAACGTTTGGATATATATTCTCATCAGTAAACATGGCTCTTCTTTACAGTCCCACAGAAAGTTTAAACGGGTTTAAAAATAGATTCAGAGAAAAAAGCGAATAATCAAATTGCAAGATGATCCTGGCAACAGTGGGCTTTGTGACGAATATCTTTAGTTGAAATAGACTATAGTGGAGGAAACTTTGCTGGAGAAGGTGGTTTTAAACATAGAAGGACAACATAAATATTTTGAGGGCAGATATGGAAGATTCACTGGCAAGATTCAAAAGACTTATTTCTGGTTGTAAGCCAGGGATTTGATATTCATATTTGGTATGAAACAAAATATTCCAATGCAAGAGACAGAACCCATTACTGGTTATTTGTGTGAGAAATAATGTAGATCAGAAAAGATCAGAATGTTTGCAGTGATAAGCTGCAATATTTGAAGGGAAAGTGAATTAATCAGGAAAGGAATTACTGTGAAAATTAGACTTATTTTAAAAGCAACCTAGGAATTCTTTATTGAAACATGTGCACTATATTGCACTATTTTGAAAATAAGGGTAATGTGGTCATAACATATCTTCCTGTGCATGTCAAGAGTTCTTTTTGTGCAGGCTTTCTGAATTGAATACATGAGTGATTATAGGCTTTCATTTAAGAATATACCAAGAACTAAAAATTGAACATTGTGTATATTGTAGAGATCTGGGTAACAACATACCACAGATGATACAAAAACGGCACTATCAAAATCCATACAAATAAATTACTGTTTTTCATTTGCATGGTCTTTTTAAAAAATGAAGCAAATAATCTAATTATATTTTGATATAACACAGGAGAAAAGCCTTTTTTATGTGAGGCCCAGGGCTGTGGTCGTTCCTTTGCTGAATATTCCAGCCTTCGGAAACACCTAGTTGTCCATTCAGGTAAGGACATTTTATTTCTTCAGATAAAATTAACAAAGCAGAGAGTATTTATTGGAGATAGCTGTATAACTTCTAGGTCCTATTCCAAGGTCTCTCCTTTTTCTTTTTAATTTCGCTAGCCTATTCATATTATATCTCAGTCTTCAAGCATGTAAAGTCTCATCTAGTCCTGACCCACATTTGGTAGATTAAAGATTACAGATCATACAGATTCACAACTCCAAATTATGAACATTTTCTTGCAAAACAGTGTTTTGAACTTGGCTGTAGAGCTAATACTTTATATTGACTGAATTTTACTGATACCAATCTATCTAATCCATTATAAATATTTAACTTTTTGTTTTATATGTTTTTCTGCCTTGTTTCAGGACTAAAGCCACATCAATGTCAAATTTGTGGGAAGACATTTTCTCAGAGTGGTAGTAGAAATGTACACATGAAGAAACATCATTCGAGGGTTGAAACAATTAGCAATAGACAGCATGAGCAAACAGGTAAGGATAAAATAGAAAAATCTAACATGAGTTCCCCAAATATTGGTAAGAGAAATCCATAGAAATACCAGGATTAATGGATTGGTGACAGTTAACCCCTTGAGCATTTGGCTAGGAACGTAAGTGAGCTTTGTAGCTTTATGTTTTGGTGCTTCCTGCTTTAACCAGGGCATTATGTATTTATATTCTTATAGTGGTTTTACTTTTTTATGCCATCCAGAATCACTGTTGTGAGACAAGTGGCTCTATAAATAGTATCATTAATTAAAGTGGCAAGATAGAGTTCAAAAGCGGTGCAAGTTTATTCCATGCAACCTATACACAAGAATCTGATCTACTAAAAGTTAAAGCAATTTGGTGCCAGATAAGAGTCAAGAAACTTTAAGTGGGGGGCTGGACTTAGGTCTCTTCCAGGGACGTAGGGACTCCAGACTGATTATACGTTTGACCTTGTCTTTTGACTCAGCCTGGTCATTTCCTACAGTAAATAAATTAGGACTGGGCTGGGCAGGAAGTTGTGTAATTGCCTCTTTATTACTTAATCCTACCCCAAAGTCTTTAGAGATATTTCTAGTTGATTAATATTGCCACCTGAATAAAGTAAACAGAGAGGTTCAATCTGTCAGTTACAGTTGCAGGTAGCCCTCGACTTATGACCACAATTGAGCTCAGAATTATGGTTGTAACTCATGGCAGTTGGTAAACTAAGTGTTCACATGATCGCCTCCTTTAACGACCCTTTGTGGTCATTAAGTGAAACAGGCTGCCTTGAGGTGGGGGAGGTCTGGTACAAGCCCAGACCCACACTGCAGTACCTCCCCAGGTCTTTTCTCTTATATTACTAAGCAAAATAATAAATAGTAATACATATATTACTAAGCAGAATAACACAGAGATCACAATTTTTAGTTAACCTAAATCTGGATATTATTACATTATTTACTTATCTTCTTGGAAAAGATATTATAGCATGATGTTTCTTCTTAGGAAATGTTATGTTTGAATATATGTCCTATTTCCACTTGTGTACCTTCTATCAAAAGCAACTTGGTTCTTGGTTGCTGGGCCTCATTTCTCATACTAGTAGTTCTCGGTTAATCACCATAATTGGGACTGGAATCTCAGTCGTTGAGCAAATCAACTATCGTGATTGCTTTGCTTGACAAACATGATCCTTAAAGTCTACAGTTACATTAAGCAAATGCATGGAGCTAAATTCATGTGTCCTTGCTTCGCTATGCCTGTGGAGCTGCAGGCAGAGAGAGGCAGATAAAACACAGAGAGGCAGGAGAAAAGGATTTTAGCACACTGAAACTTGCACAGTTACGGAGAGGCAGGGAGCTTTTAAAGTGTGCTAAAATCTGTGTACGAGCATAGAGAGGTAGGGATCCTTGCTAAAATCCTTCTCTCCTTGCTCTTCTCCATTGACATTTCTGGCAAAGCTGACAGAGAAGATTGCAAATGGCAATCATATGATTGCAGGGTGCTTGACAACTAGTCACAAGTGAAACAGATCACAATCAGCTAACCATGGGGGTGTATGCAATTTTTCAAAACTCTCAGTAGTGCTTTACAGGCCCTAAAGCACCCTTCTTAGGCTGTTGGTAATTCAAAATCTGGTTAAATGAAGACTACCTATACCCTCTCGGCATTGTACTCCTGATGCAGTATCATTAGTTTAGAATGTTTGTCCAGTCCTGTTTCCTTCTGGCATGATTACTTTAATCCATCATGTTTGCAGAAGAATGGGTTCCATTTTGGCACAAGATTTCATTGAACATATGTACTGAGTGTGTTGATAATATTTTTCTGCTGAAACTTAGATGCTCTTGTGTTTGAGTAGGCTGTTTATTTTTCCATGGCATGTCTTTTCGATAGCTTAAACAACATTCAAACAAATGACATCAGAGTAGTTATGGATTGTAAAAATGGATACACTTTTTAAATAAAAGTAAAATGTATCCGAATAAAGTATTTAAATTTTATTATTAATTATTATTTTTTTATTTAAATTTTATGGCTTTGAAATTTAATTTGTGAAAGTGAAGTTTTTGTTTCACAAAAAGTCATCTTTGAAGAACACTAATCTTATTTAGTTATAGTTTCCTTATGAAACACCTTATGTTTGAATTACATATACACATCAACATTTACCTGTTGCTACCACCCCCTCATCCTCTATGCTTCACAAAGGAAATCTTGTAAGGATAAGTGCAGCACAAATGTTCTGTATTCAGATTTGTGAGTGATAATATAATCCTCTTTTCTGTGTAGGAATAGAGGAAATGTTACGTAAAGACATGTGCAGTAAAATGCCATGATCTCAGTAGCTGGTTACCTTGAAAATACCTATGAGTTCACCTAATTAGCAGAACCAGATGTGGGAAGAGAGGAAAGGTTACGTACAGACATGCGCATTAAACGGCTATGAGCTCAGTGACCGATTACCTCAACTGTTTATTTAGAGATAGGCCATACCAGGGAGTTATGTGGAGCTTCTACTCTGTCTGGGATGGACTTAGATATTGACAAGTAAAATGTACCAATAAGATGCTGTTGCTAGCCCTGCTTTTGCTTTGCTTGTTAAAACTGTATAAAAGCCAAATAAACTCTGCGTAAGGCAGACAGACATTTTGGACACCATTGCTGTGATGGATTTCTGAAACCTACACCTGTACTCTAAAACAATTTTGCAGACCACAGTAAATTAATTGTGTGTTGGTTTTTCCTTTTTTAAACCCAGAATCACTGATGGGCAGCAGTTTATTGGAAGAATCTGAATTAGATAGCAAGAGCTTGGTGTCAATGAATTCTCCATCTAGCCTTGTTGAATCTTTGCATTTGCCAGATCCGGAATCAATCATTGGTGTAAAAGAAGGTGAGAAAATGTTTCTGTCTAATCTAAAGAAACCCTGTATGAAATGAAATCAAAGATAAGAATAGATGGTCTTGTATTTTTAATATATAACATAATTTAATAGAGTTAACATGGAAACTGGCAAATATAGCACATAAAGGTCAACAGTAATACAAGAAGGGATGGATTTTAAAACTTCCTTGATAATTGTATGGTGACAGTGGAACAATTTTGAGTTGCCAATTTTATTCCATGTCCTTTTGAGAATCTGACAAGAAAAGAACTATGATTTTCTTATAAATGTAGTCCATATCTTGAAAGCAGATGTCTCATCTTAAGGCTGGATGCTTTCTTATTTGGGATGATCATTTCATATTCATTCTGCAGTATCTTATAATCCATAGGACTGAAGTGTGAGCTTCAGTGGAATCCTCAAATTCAGTCATTATTTCATATGCTGAAATCTTGGGAGACTTTGGTGTTCCTGCAAGAGATCTTACATGCTTTCAGGCAAAAATGTTGAGATAAAAGACACGTGGTAGATGTTTATTTATTATTCAACAATGACTCTAGGTGGCGAACAGTGAATAAAAATAAAAACAGCCACATATAAAATGTTAAAATGCAGAGCAGCTGAGAAGAACAGTAGTCATTTCATATCGGGAGACAGGATCCAGGGCCTAAGCAGAGAACCAGGTTTTTAGGGCCTTACTAAAGACCAGCAGAGTTGGGATATACCTGATCTCTAGAAGGAGAATGTTGCAGACAGCAGGCATTGTAGCAAAAAAATTTTTTAAAAAATTATCAAGTGTTTTGAGCCTCGCTAGCTGAGATTCTACAACTAACAGGACTTGGAGCATTCCCATCTTGCTGGATCAGACAGGATAGAGAGAAACAGCCAGGGATATAATCAACGTTCTCAGTATCATACCCAGACCCTTGTTCCTACTAAAAGGGATCCAGAAAATCCTGTTTCTTGAGTATTCTGAAGCTTCAGTATGATCACCTTCTCTATAGCATTCCCTAACAAGGGAAGATTGGACCCTGGATGAAAATTTTCCAGACTAGTTGAGATAAGGAATTGACTCTTGAAAGGGGCACCAACATCTCAAGAGCTAACGCGAAGGAGGAATTAACTATTGCCTAAGCCAAACCCACATCCTCTCCCATGCGGCAAATATATAAAAGTTATATATAAGCGGTAACCTTATAATGATTGTATACAATAGCATACAATTGTATTCCTTTCTTTTTACTGGAACTCTCACATTTTTTTCTAACTTTGTTTTACTGTATTTACATGGTACATGCTGTACTTATAGGTTGAGAATTTTTAAAGTATCATTTATTTTTCTGCTTGATTTGTAGAGGTTCTAGCTGAAGCAGCAGTAAATTCTCTCCATGATGTATCTGATGTGGTTTTGCCATCTCATCATCTGATGCCCATGTCAACATCAAGGCACTCTTACGGCGTATCATCCTTACTACAATAAATGCTTAGGTATGAAGGTTTCTGTTTTGAAAAATGTAGTGCTAGTCCTTTTAATTTCAGAAAACATTTGCTCCTTCTGTGATTGAAGGGAAGAAATTTGCATGTTTTTCTACTCGGGAACCAGACCATTCTAAAGTGCATATATCCTTCTCACTTTGCTCAGAGATGAGGCTAGAAAAAATCCAATTTCAGTTCCTATGGGACAGGAGAATTTCCTTATCCAGTTCCAGCTTTTCTTGCTTCAAAAAGCATGCCTACCTACATTTTTCATTTGTTGTCTTTGTGGCAAAGATGACCTCAGCCTGTGATTTCTGTTATTTTTACATTTTCCTTGGCTTAGTATTTTGTTCCTATTCAGTTTGCTTCAGGAGTGCTGAGCTAAGCAATAGCAGTGAATTGTGAATCTCCCAGAGTTGTCTGCAGATATGGGCAGCTCTAGAAATCAAATAAATATATAAACAAATCTCCTAGGATTTTTCTGATAGGGGCTTAATTTCAAAATATGCATCCAAGTGACATATGTCTGCCTTCCCATCAGGATTCTCTGAGAAGGGCAATATCCCTGCTCCTGAATCGGTGGCCATGGAGAACCCACTTATAATAGCTGGCACGTCCTTTGGGAAGTTGAAGAATAGTCACTGGAGTGCATGAGTTATTCACATCATTAGAACTAACTTTGCCAAGCAGTATCCCTTTTCAAAGACCCAATGAATTTTTGATCCTCAGAGAATCCTGGGATATCCATGGCTTCTGTGGAGCAGACATATACCAAACACCTTCCTTCTAGGAAGAACAGATATGCAAGGAACTCCATTTTGGAGACTTCCCTCACCCTACCCCATTGGGGGAAGGGAGGAGCATTTCCACTCCTTCTTTGGTGGAACTGTCTCCTGACTACTTCAGGGACAAGTCCCAGGCTACTTTTGTAGGCAGAAAAGGCAAGTCATTAATTGGGAAGTCCTCCATAATGCCACTTCTGACCTGAATGTTTCCTTTCAGACCTAATGAGAAAGAGGAAGCAGATCTGTCCCTGGATATAAGGAAGAAGACAGTGGTTGCCGTTCCCAGAGTCTTACAGTTTAGTCTATGAATACTAATATTACTTTTATTATAAGGTTATAGTAACAGAATCTTACAAGTCTGACTGCTCATGCTCCCTCCCCCCATTTATTTATAAGATAACTAGAGAGGACCAAGCTTGAGACATTTCTTTGAATTATATTTTTGCCTTGGACAGTGTGTGTGTGTGTGTGTGTGTGTGAGAGAGAGAGAGAGATGTGCACACACATGCAATCATAATCTTGGTTGAGGTTTTTACCATTGATTACTCCTATACCCCTTTTACTCTCATACTCTGTAGCTAGTGGCCTTCCCCAGGCTCTCCTTCCCTGAAGTATTCAACAATGTCCATGGGAAGTGTGATGCGGATGCAGGATAAATAAGATTCTCTTTGACCACCAAACTCTGTACTTTCCCTCATGCAGCAGTCCTCCATAGCAGAACATATATGCTAAAGGTAAGGACCCAGGGATGGGTTGCTCCCAGCATTACTGCTGGTACAGTGCACCCCGTAGGAGAACTGGTTCGGGGGTATGGCAGGCCTGGGTTGCTGCTGGTTTCAGCGACCCAGGCTGCCAAACCACTACCAGTTTGGTTGAACCGGTCCAAACTGGTAGGAACCCACCTCTGTAAGGAACCCATCAAACAGCAAGAGGACAGGCTAGTGGAAGTTCAGTAACACAGAAAACATGAGGCAACAGCTTAGCCACAAGGCCCCCCCCTCATTTATTGTTTTTGTCACTTATCATCGGTTGGATGAAACAGCATTTAAGTTCAAACTTCTAGAGCATAAGTAGCTCAAACAAGATCTGAATAAATTAGCCAAGGCAATTGCCTTCATAGCTGATGTGAATTTCGACAGTGGCCAATTCTTAACCAGAGACTTGGTTGCTAATATGGCTACTTTTTGTCTCCAAATCTGTAATATATGGCCCATTCAAGTATGACAAGCTATTCAGAAACTCCCTACGTAATGTGCTAATTGAGATTAAGGATAAAAATACAGTCCTGTCTGATAATCAAATTTATCACCCCCATCCCATGAAATTATTTCACCCAATTTTTCAACAATCAAACATTAGCTGGCACTGAAGTCCAGAAACTAGCTCCAAGTGCTACAAGTTGAGACATTCTTCCATTCTTGCACCATATTTTTCATTGTTCCAAACCTCAAAACAAACGAATCACCAATTTAGGTACCATCTTTTAAATCCATGATACAGTACCTTAAGAAAAAAAATGCCCTGTATAGCTGTCTAGAGGGCATCTATAGGGCTATAGTATTTTTGTCTTTTATAGAGGTAGTCCTCAACTTAAAACAATTCACTTAGTGGCACTTCAAAGTTACAATGGCACTGAAAAAAGTGACATGACCGTTTTCTACACGACTGTTGCAGCATCACTATGGTCACATGAACAAAATTCAGACGCTTGGCAGCTGATTCATACTTATGATGGTTGCAGTGTCCCGAGGTCTTGTGATCCCTTTTTGCAGTGTTCTGGGGTCATGTGACCCCTTTTACGACCTGCTGACAGGCAAAATCAATGAGGAAAACAGTTTCACTTAACCATGTTACTAACTTAACTACTGCAGTGATTCACTTAACTACTGCAAGAAAGGGCATAAAATGGGGCAAAATTAACAACAAATGTCTCTCACAGAGCAACAAAAATTTTGGGCTGGATTGTGGGCATAAGTCGAGGACTACCTGTAACTCTTACACCTCAGTAAAGCATTCTTCAGCAGGAATATACAAAAGGAAATAAGACTGCTTCCTGGGGCATGATCATATCCCCAGTGACAGCTTTGATATACATTATTCCACTTTAAAATGTGCTGATTTTACTGTAGGGAAATCCACATCAGACTTACGATGAATGTTTTTATCCTAAAGACACGGTGTTTGGTTGACCAAGAAAAGAGGTAGTCATCAATATTTGCATTCTTTATGGAGTCTTATGTAACTTTCCAGTATTACTTTCTCAAGTATTTTATGGAGTCCCTTTCTGGTTTTGTATTCTGAACTGGGGAAGGGATCTTTTATTTCCCCTCCCTCCAAGAACTGAGATTGGAATCTTCTAGCCCCCTTTCTGAAAGACTGGAAAGAGATACCCACTTCAGAATGATCTGTCCTCACTGTAGAAGAAAGATCTTCATGGTAAGTTCAATGCATCATTGCTAAACATAGTGTAATTTCACTGAAGAATTTGATAGGTTCAGTTTAATAACAATTCTTATATTTATCTTAATATATTTACTTTTAATTTTATTGGAGGATTACAACATTCCTTTTCAACATTTCATTAAAGATGGAAAATTAATTTGGTAATCCGACCTATATAATAACTAGTAATTTACAGGATGCATTAGCAACTATTCCTTTCAACTTGTTGAATGGATCTCTAATTTCAGGTGGGTTATGTTGGGATGGCTTTAAGTGTGGAATATGCACCATCCAAAGTGGTTTTGAGTCAGCAATATAAACTTACTTAAATGATGGCAAAAGAAAACGTATTTTTAGAAAATCTGATTTTTTTTACCCTCATTGTTCAGAAAATTAATGCAACTTAATATGTTATATTAGATAAACTAATGTTTTGCTCAGTTTCTAAATTTGGATAGAGAATTTGGCCAGAAACTGGTTTTCAGTGTTTATTTAAATGCACAGTAAAGTCTGCTGCAAGGAGAAGTGCAAAGTGTTGGGAAGAAAGTAGCATCTGGCTCCTTCTCAACTTACAAACATTCGTTTTGAGCAGGGGTCCCAAATTCTTCAGGTCATTAACCTCTTCATGAAATTTCAGATTGTTCATCAATCCCAAATATTCATTATATGAGAGCCGAGGTGGCGCAGTGGTTAGGGTGCAGTACTGCAGGCCACTTCAGCTGACTGTTATCTGCAGTTCAGCGGTTCTAATCTCATCGGCTCANTTTTGCTTTGCTTGTTAAAACTGTATAAAAGCCAAATAAACTCTGCGTAAGGCAGACAGACATTTTGGACACCATTGCTGTGATGGATTTCTGAAACCTACACCTGTACTCTAAAACAATTTTGCAGACCACAGTAAATTAATTGTGTGTTGGTTTTTCCTTTTTTAAACCCAGAATCACTGATGGGCAGCAGTTTATTGGAAGAATCTGAATTAGATAGCAAGAGCTTGGTGTCAATGAATTCTCCATCTAGCCTTGTTGAATCTTTGCATTTGCCAGATCCGGAATCAATCATTGGTGTAAAAGAAGGTGAGAAAATGTTTCTGTCTAATCTAAAGAAACCCTGTATGAAATGAAATCAAAGATAAGAATAGATGGTCTTGTATTTTTAATATATAACATAATTTAATAGAGTTAACATGGAAACTGGCAAATATAGCACATAAAGGTCAACAGTAATACAAGAAGGGATGGATTTTAAAACTTCCTTGATAATTGTATGGTGACAGTGGAACAATTTTGAGTTGCCAATTTTATTCCATGTCCTTTTGAGAATCTGACAAGAAAAGAACTATGATTTTCTTATAAATGTAGTCCATATCTTGAAAGCAGATGTCTCATCTTAAGGCTGGATGCTTTCTTATTTGGGATGATCATTTCATATTCATTCTGCAGTATCTTATAATCCATAGGACTGAAGTGTGAGCTTCAGTGGAATCCTCAAATTCAGTCATTATTTCATATGCTGAAATCTTGGGAGACTTTGGTGTTCCTGCAAGAGATCTTACATGCTTTCAGGCAAAAATGTTGAGATAAAAGACACGTGGTAGATGTTTATTTATTATTCAACAATGACTCTAGGTGGCGAACAGTGAATAAAAATAAAAACAGCCACATATAAAATGTTAAAATGCAGAGCAGCTGAGAAGAACAGTAGTCATTTCATATCGGGAGACAGGATCCAGGGCCTAAGCAGAGAACCAGGTTTTTAGGGCCTTACTAAAGACCAGCAGAGTTGGGATATACCTGATCTCTAGAAGGAGAATGTTGCAGACAGCAGGCATTGTAGCAAAAAAATTTTTTAAAAAATTATCAAGTGTTTTGAGCCTCGCTAGCTGAGATTCTACAACTAACAGGACTTGGAGCATTCCCATCTTGCTGGATCAGACAGGATAGAGAGAAACAGCCAGGGATATAATCAACGTTCTCAGTATCATACCCAGACCCTTGTTCCTACTAAAAGGGATCCAGAAAATCCTGTTTCTTGAGTATTCTGAAGCTTCAGTATGATCACCTTCTCTATAGCATTCCCTAACAAGGGAAGATTGGACCCTGGATGAAAATTTTCCAGACTAGTTGAGATAAGGAATTGACTCTTGAAAGGGGCACCAACATCTCAAGAGCTAACGCGAAGGAGGAATTAACTATTGCCTAAGCCAAACCCACATCCTCTCCCATGCGGCAAATATATAAAAGTTATATATAAGCGGTAACCTTATAATGATTGTATACAATAGCATACAATTGTATTCCTTTCTTTTTACTGGAACTCTCACATTTTTTTCTAACTTTGTTTTACTGTATTTACATGGTACATGCTGTACTTATAGGTTGAGAATTTTTAAAGTATCATTTATTTTTCTGCTTGATTTGTAGAGGTTCTAGCTGAAGCAGCAGTAAATTCTCTCCATGATGTATCTGATGTGGTTTTGCCATCTCATCATCTGATGCCCATGTCAACATCAAGGCACTCTTACGGCGTATCAT